CCGAAATGTAACTCGTAATTTGGACGGTTAATTCTGGTGTTTTGCTTCGCCTTTGGTCTACGCGGAAAGAATAATAAAGTTATGCATATTAGATCTTGCGCTAGTATACTTCGTACTATCCGTGAACCTCAATATCTTCATCCTCTATAATCTCATGAAAAAGTATATTCACTGAAGTATTGTGACATTAAACAACTCAGCGATCGACTGACCGAGTATCAGCCATTCAGATCGCTCAGTAAACGAAATGAATCATAACGTCAACCCTACACTCATCTGAACCCTAGCCTCATCAGGGTGAAACTAACATCCATTCAAAATACTGAGCTTTATTGGTTGGTTTAAGGTAATTTGCAGGTAATATCTGTTCTTTCCTGATGCCTAAATAGTATTTCATAAATATACGGTCCCTTTTCCAAGAAAAATTTCCAGCTATGGAATTTTGTATTCTCAAGCATAAGTGATTATTTAAAATGCGTAGTAGTGATAAGATATTAGATGGTTACAAACAATTGGCAGGAAGCCTTGCTCGACATAGGTTTCGTGCTAGTTGGCACTCATCAGCAAGGTGTATCTGCAACTTTAGGGGGACTTATGTCCCTTCAAAGATTCGAACTCTAGTCATCCAGTGTAGCAGTCAGATAAGTTGTCACCGGGCTGTTCTAACTCGCGATTGATACGAGTTTGTTCAAGGTTGCAGATGTGTCTTGCTGATGAGGACCAGCCAGCACGAAACCTAGGTCCCAGGCTTCCTACTGATTGCCTTCAACCATCTACCATCAACAGTTAAAGGTGTGCCATGATAGCGAGCCACCTACAGGGTGGTAACACTGCAAACGTGATTTGATAGAATTCGGTCTGCACCAAAGATAGGACTAGACGCATTGGACCAGTTACTAACTAGTGTACATTCAAAAAGGTAGTAAGAAAAGGGATGGTTATTCCAACCCATTTGAAGTAACCAAAGAAAAGTTTGTGGAGAATTAGTTAAACCAGAACAAGAAAAATATGATAAAAAGACTGATGGATCACAGCAAGAAACATCCACACGAAATTCAACACAGTTTCTGAAAGGATCATAACTTTTGCCGATAACGGTATAAGGCGAATTTGCTGTAGCCAGAAGACAGCTCTCCAGAACTCAGAATACTATTTTATGTATATAATAACCAACTCGATATTAACGCAAGCAGTATTAAAAGACCAACGGTAAGTCGAAGGTTTATTAATCAATCGAGTATAAGCCAGCAAGTTAATCACACAGCAGCTTGACCATGTGATTCACAGTTGATTACTACCAATGCACCAAAGTCTGTAAATAACGTCAGCGTAATACACATTGCTCCGGTCTTCTGTCACGATCAAACGTCTAGGTCACGACAGGGAATGTCGCGAAAAGGGAACCTGTTCGAACAAAAAGGTTTATACAATGCCCACTCAGTGTCCAACAACATTGGCACCTGTGTAAACAATCTGGGCAAGACTTAGAACAACTGGTTATCGTTAAATTACCAGGATATTTTAACTCATCAATTATTTCTAAACATGGGAAGCTATTGCAACTATTTGTTGCTCAAAGTCCTCCTCTGGAATGTCTGAGAAATAGAAATGGGCAACCTGACTGCTATCTTGCGCTTGACAGCGTATGGAAGAACGTAATTCTTGACGGAAGGGAACATCGTACACTCTGTAAGCAGAAAGTCAGTCATCGTGGAACTGTACCCAGTTTTATTCCTGATTTTCCTCTCAGTCTGTCGAAAAGTTAGAGGCATTCGGTACGTATCTACTCTAATCACGTATTACAAAAAACCGACAAATGCCATCCAATTGGCTAACAACCTGCAGATCCCAGTTACTCAGTCTTCTCATGCAGTTGCACAAAACAGACATCTGCTGGCACTTAAAAGTCCATTATTTTACTGTACAATATTCTTCCAAAGTGCCTTAGGTTTCAGCGAATTTATAAAGTGTGGTGACCATCACATTGTATCACCGACGATATGATGATGGAATCCAAGGGTTGCATCTGTGAACTTCCCGTCATTGCTACCTGATTAGTATGCATAACACAATCTCAAGACTTACCACCAGAAAGGATCTACATTATCCTAGGCTAAACCTTAACTAAGTAACTCATAGGACTGCTAAAATAAAGGCGCGGTCTTGATTCTTTCCTCCAGAGTTTTAACCAATGAAGTTCACTGAGAGCTGACATTGGGGCTGGTTCAGAATTTGTCAAGCTCAAGGGAAAGCTAAGTCAACATGAGGAAAGGGATACTTCGTGAATATCTATCCGAGAAGCAGATTAATTCAGGGGGTTGAAAATTATTTCTGTCAATGTCCATTCCAGATTCTTAATTTTTATATAAATCCTTTTCTCGCGTTTGCTTATTCTGCGTAGGAGCACTTGTCTCCTCACTTGTTATGTGGTCAGCATTCTTACCTTACACTCACTCTTTTCTATCACCGTTCACTTGATACTCAGTATACTCTCCTGGCACCCCTTTTTCCAGAGTATTTTCGACTTAAGTGAAAAGTTGAACCACAAAACATGAAAAAAAATTCACTACATCACCGCTGTCCTTCTGTGAACCATAGATTCTTTAGAAAATTACCTACATATTCCTCTTTTGATCAAGTTTGGTAGGTCTGTAACAACTCAGGAGACATATTTTTGCAATGAAATTCCCTAGAGATTTATGATCGGTCCAATACAACAAGAAGAGTATCAGGAAATTAAAAGGCTTTATGCTCCTGTCCATTCCAAGCAAAATACTAAGCCGCGTCATCCTGGAAAGAATCAAACAAGCCCTAGATGAAAAACGTCGACCGGAACAGGTCAGATTCAGGAGAAACAAGTCATGTATTGATCAAATTGCCACTCTACGAATCATCACTGAACAAAGCTTGGAATGGCCGTCAGTCACCTCTCTATATCAACTTCATCGACTTTGAAAAGGCCTTCGACAGACAGCGTCGATCGAGAGGTGATTTGGCAACTACTTCGCTACTACTGTGGGGTGCCATCGACAATTATACATCTCATCCAACAGTTATACGACAATTCTGCATGCCAAGTAATCTACAACGGGAATCTTACGGAAGTCTTCGAAGTGAGGACGGAAGTGAGACAAGGCTGTCTACTATCACCAATGATTTCCCTGATTGCAGTAGATTGGATAATGCGACAGACAACGGCAACCAACGAGGGAACAGGCATAAAACGGACTCACACAAAAAACTTGGGGGATCTGGACTTCGCCGATAACATGTATATGTCTGATTTCCCACAAATTGGAAGATATGCAAGTGAAAAGCGGCAAACTGGCAGAAGAAGCCTCCAGAGAAGTTAGGAATTCAGGTGAACATAGAGAAAACAGAGGTGATGAAGATTCCTGGTCAACATCACCAATAGCAACAACAACAGACAACAATCAGCAGGCATATATAATGGGGGGAACCTGAAAGAAACAACCTCCTTCCCCTACCCACCTAACTGGGAAGCATCGTTCCAACTACAGGCGGACGGAAGTGACGAGAATACCAAAGCCAGAATCTGAAAAGCAAGACAAGCATTCATTACCCTTAAGTCTGTGTGGAGGTCAGCAGTACTCAGCATGAAAATGAAAATAAGATCCGGATTTTCAAATCCAATATGAAGTCAGTGCTACTTACTATACGGATGAGAGACTTGGCGCGTCATAAAGAGCAGCCCAAACAAACTACAGACCTTCATCAACAGTTGTCTTCGCTCAATACTCAAGATCAGATGGCTGGCCAGAAAAGGTCAGCAACGGGGATCTGTGGGAGCGAACCAACCAGGAACCGATTTTCAAACAAATAGGCAGGAAGAAATGGAGATGGATTGGTCACACCCTGAGGAAGCCATCAAGCGTCATCACTAGACAAGCCCTCGAGCGGAACCCGGATGGGAAGCGGCGATTTGATCGTCAGTGTAAGGGTGACTTGGAGGAGGTCACGCGAGGAAGAGATGAAAGCATGTGGGCAGACTTGGAGCGGAGTGAAAAAGATGGCAGAAAACCGAAGGTAATGGGGGTGCGCAGCTGAAGCCCTATATTCCTCTAGGAACTAAAGGAAATAATAATAATAAAAGGCTTTACAAACTCGCCATAAGGATGAACAATGTATGATGTAGCTATGGCACCGTCTTTGGACGCCTTTAAGCGAAGGCTGGACAACCATGCAGCGATACAAGGACTGCATCCAAATGGCCTATCTCCTTAAAATCGCATTTACCAATCAGGGTAGATAATTAAACTCGTCATTTTACTTCTTTACATTCTCTCCCGTCTTACTCTCCTGACAACTTATTAATATTATAATTACTATTATTATTATTATTATTACTATTACTGATATATATATTATTCTTCAAACTTCATGAGCTGACTGTTGTTACGTTTCCTATTTTCGTTTCTGTCTCTTAGTCTGAATAGCTTCACTAATTATATCTATTATTATTATTATTATTATTACTATTATTATTATTATTACTATTATTATTATTATTATTATTACTATTATTATTATTATTACTATCTCTTTTCTCTTGTCGACAATACCGAAGGACTAACTGGCGAAAGGATCAACTCCAATCACAGTAGTAACAGTCTTAACATACCTCATACTACAAACCACATATAATTAATCCCAGCACTACTCCCTTTGGAGTCAACCAAAGCTACGACAGTCGAGTGGCGGGACAAGCTACGCAGAAGTTTACCGAAGATCAAGAACCTATACCTCACAATCAAGAAGCGAGCACAAAGAAATCAAATTGGTTTATACTAGCTCGTAAAAACGATATTGGATATTGGATCTAACAATACTCCAAATTGCCATATGAACACATTGTTTATATGAAATTGGAAGCTATGATGTAAAGTGAAATCTTTTCTCAGTCTAAGTTTATATTTTTTATTTCATATAGTCGGACTTTCTGAAAGGTCAGGGCTTAAGTTTATGTCATGGTTGTTACAGCAACGACCTTGGAACGATTTCGAACTAGGGTTTCTTGTTTCGCTAAAATTATTAGTGTAAGTAGCCGAGACTAGTACACAAAATTCTTTCTTTCATGAGGCTAACTGAAGAAACATTAGGTTATTTACATATTCTGTATAAATAATATCGGTCATAATGTTACTGGAAGTTATTGGAAGGTATAATATTGAAAACATAGCTACCTTGAAGCCACGCGTGTAGTGCTACTACAAGTTATATTTCGATGTTTCACAGAATTGTCTAAGATATCTGAAGGCATGATAAAGGAACGTTTCTGTTGTGTTTATCTATCCCTAGGTTACTATAATTCTGAATTAAATCCCACTAATTCTGAAATAATTCTAACATTCTATAGTGAGTAAATTCTGAATCTGTTCTGAAATGGATCCTTTAATGGCACAGACTGAAACTCAGTGCTGCTTTTCAGCATGACTGGTACTGATACCGCACCATTTTCTTTTTCTAGGCATTTTCAGGAGTGGATCAGAACATACTGGGCTTGCTAATCAGCGCTGTCTCAGCCTTCACAGGACATATTATGCACGGACTAGCGTTACTTCAGCACATAATGGGTAGATGAAATCTTCATTGACGATAAAAAGGCATTATCGAAGAATAGGTTATAATAAGCTTAGGATTGCTGTGAGCTTGGCAGTTTAAGACTTTTAGATATCAAATCTCGTAATATTCTATTGTTATATACATTTGATTTCTTGTTTAGAGACTTTTGAATTAGTTCTAAGTTTTCAGTACATCTATCGGTTTTATTCTTTATAATCTTCTTCATCATAATAAAGAGGTGTCAGGTATATCGATATCCGTATCAGCATCTGCAAAGGCAAAATACTACAGGTTTTTGTTATTTATATGTACCAGCCAAAGGTAAATGGTTAAATGTATTGCCATCAATGCTTACGCAAAAGCTACAGAAAGTCAATTTTTCTTGCATTAAAGAGTTCCTTCTAGGAGATTTTAATTCTTCTTTACGTTCTTTGGCATGTATCATTAGTTTTATATATATTTCGAAAGATTCACCCGCTTTTACTGCATTTTCCAAGTGATCTAAGCACCATGTTGATATAAGACATATAATGGAAACAACAAACAAGATATTGCCACCGTCCAATACTGCTTCTTCTCAACCGCATTTAAAATACTTGCTACCGTAAACAGTTTTCTTCAATTAGTTGCTTATGGCTTTCATAGTTCAACTGTGGGTACTGACCTGTAATGTTTAGTTCGTCTGGTTAAACTGAAGACACACGGTCAAGTGTCCACATTATTTGGCGTCCTGTCGTAACAGATTTGGTTATTCGTGAACGCCTTCCAGCTTCTTAGGTCGTCATCACCTGTCGCCATCTCTGATCTAAAAATACATTACACATTTTAGATGATCAGTATTTTGTTTCGATTTCTTTATGGTCTAAGCTAAACAACTAATTTGGGAGTTAATGTAGACTTAGGAATGCATCTAAATGGCAGAAACAGTTCATTCATTTATTTATTTAAGTAATAATGCTCAGCTTGGTTTGAATAACTATGTGGAGTCCATGAGTGATACTATTCCTACCATTTAGCAGCAATGTGTGATATATGTTGCTTGTAATAGCGAGAAACTCCCACACTTTTGCTTGGGTGGACCCACTGGATTTGTTTGGGAACTTATTTAGGATGCCTTTGTTGCTTGACTCCTCTCAACATCATGTAGTGGTAAATAATTCTCCGAAATTCGCAGTTTACAGCATCCTCCACTCAACATTGATTTTGACCTTCGATGTTTAAGTCAGATCATCAATTTGAAAGTCCGTGATCAATCACCCACACCATTTGGCACATTACATTCAGCTACTTGTGAACGATCCCTAGCTAGCTAAGCAATCATCATGCCATGATTTTGGTCCCAAAATGTATCTCGTATTTCAAACAGTCACTCGGTGTTTTTGTCATTCTTTGATCCGAGCAAAACAAATGCAATAGGAGTTGGAAGATAAGAACTTGAGTTTATGTACATTGTACTCTGGATAAACGTCACCAACCTTCTCTGCTAGACTGGTGAGCTTCACGACCTGCTATAAATTACTTCAAAGTATAGTTCGACTATTTTCGCTGTGTATTTCCTCAGGTTTGTTTACATATTTAAAAAAGTACTGTTTTTGTTTGAACTGCTGCCTTCTGTTAATCTGGAATTAGAGTTTGCTGTTGAAATACTTATTTCAGTATACCTTATTTTAAAACTGATATTTTATTGCAGTCGAGTGAAGATTAAAAAAAGTAATTTTTTCTTTCCATTTACTGTAGTATGCCACCAAAAAAGAATTCAAAAGTGAGATTAAAACTTAATTTTATTTGATAATACAAACTTAGAGCGATACAGCAATAGTGAGATCAATGACTGAAATGATTAAAGACTATGAACATCGAGTTGAGCGTTATGAAACAACAGTATGTAATTCAATTAGAAAGTGTTTTAAAAAAGCTTTGGAAGAAGATCGTCCTGTGACAAGAGTAAGCTAAATTATATCTTCACAGCAAACTTTTTTCATATGAATGACTATAATATTAATCGAATATATTAAAGTTTTTAGTTGATCCACAAGATCGTCGTATAGTTGAATATTGGGACGATGACAGACTGATTGAAGCTCTTAAAGAAGACACCGATGAAGGTGTAACTATCAAGAAGAAGAAAGTTAGAAGTAAACCAGTGAAAGAAGACAAACCATTAGTTAAACTGTTACCGTTAATTGAATCTATACGTGCAAGACGATATACACTGATACAAGAATTATTTGTATGGGACTGTCATGTTGAAAATGATGACATGGTAGCATTGGTAAGTGAAATGTAAACTTGCCTCATTATCTTATTGTTACTGACAGTGTAGCATAAAAAATTCAGTAATGGTTAGCGAAAACTACTACTAAACTGATCATAAGTTTCAAAATTGGGTCATCTGAAATATTCTGGTAGTTTCATGCAATAAAATGTTCATTTTTGCTATTAGATAGTGTTTTATAGGGATGAATCTTGTTATTCAATTATTTCTGATCTTATTAAATTGACTTTCAATTGAAGTCAAAGACAAGCCTGAGTTATTGTACTTTTTTATGTTTCATTACTCACCTAACATGACATTAAAGTGTAATAGAAACTTGTAGTTGTTAGAGGCTTTTCTGTTTGACTGATTTCATCGTGAGTGGCCAAAGAATCCCTCAGAAATTGGTTATTCAAAATAAAAACTGGGATCAGTATCCCTTTCTTTCAGTTGACAAACTTACTTAAAATGACTGTGAATACTGTATTTATTTAGTATGAATATTACTGACAAAACCACTAGTTCTTAATCTCCTCATAATTGTAAGTCTATGAACGCTTACTGTTTGGTATTATAATGTGAGGACAAAAAAAGTCATGAAAATTTGTTGTGCATTCTTTTGTGTCCATAGAAAAGGTTTATCGGTTATATGATTTCATTATGAGCTAATATAGGTTAGAAAACTGTTGCAAAAAAAGCAACAAGGAGTACTAAACAGCTGTTTCGTCCTAGTTTGTGACTCTCCACTGTACGAAGTTGAACTCATGGACCATTAGATCGGGTACCAGTGGCTTACTGGTCTACGAGCTAACCTCTTATTTGAAAGGTCCTGAGTCTGAATCCCGGTGGGTGGGTACTGATGAAGAGTCACAAACTGGGACGAAACAGCTATTCAGTAATCACCTCTGGTTTTCCAATGGTTCTCTAAATGATGTCAGCTCATGATAAAATCCTGTAACCAATCAAATCAAATGCCCGCAAACCAACACTTGGAAAAGGTTTATCTTTGACCTTTAAGAAGGCTGTCTTCTAAGCCAGTCAAAACTCTATCACTCTGATGAATTCGTAAACTATACAGTGAAGTTGTACAAAGTTGATTCCGACATTTATCTCTTACCATTATTTAGTTCTAAGATTTTTGGGTGTGGTGGAGGTTATACTTGCGATTGTAACTTACTAAAATACTTTCCAAATATTAATCATGGTGTTTGTAAAATACTGGAAAATGACTGACAAAAGGAAAGGTATATATCCAGTCCAAATATATATTTATTCTTCAATAAAGTAATTCAAACAAAAGTGAGTTATTTTTCCACCTAAGATCTTGGATGACAAAATTCACTGTTGGGCTCCTAGGTGAAACTAGAAAGGCACAACCAGCTAGTTATAAATACCTATTTTATGGGGCCTATAAGAAGCTGAAAAGTTTTGTTGTTGTTGTTTTGGTTTGAAATCTGCTGCCTTAGTTAGCTGATTGCTTATTCTCACCATATTCCAGCGTTTCTCAATGAATTGTTGAATAGAGAAGGATTTCTAGTTTGTTTTTTCTTCTCTTTATTCTTTTACAGAGTGGACTGTTGATTAAAGGATGTTATGCTATTACGCGTCTTGAACTAATCGACTGTTTTCTAGATGCCAAGAGTATTGGTACACTAGTCGCTAATACTGCAGTTTCCAAGTCATTACGTGAATTATGCTTAGATTTTAACGAGTAATATTTTGTGTAAAGTTTCCAAAATATTTATGTTATTTAAAGTTTTAACACTTAGTTGTTGGTGTAATCCCACATATATTTATTATGACACTTGTAACACACTTGGTCGACACTGGACATTGCACAGACGCCAACACAGCCTTCAGGGTTATATACCAAATTTTGAGGTTGTTATCATGTACAGTTCGCTGATTTCTCCTACATATAGCTGAAGCTATATGTTGCAATAGGACCGACTAAACCGGAACTTTGTATCCAAAATGAATACACTCGAAGGCTGTTCCTACTGCGGCGAAAATTGGATTATGATGTCTTTTCCCCTTATCCCTCTTGATTTTTTTGTTTTGCTTATTAATACAATTAGTATTTAGATTTTAAACAGTAGGGTCTGTTGTCTAAAAATTAATGGAACGAACGATGATGATAACATTACAAAACGGTGAAGATGAAATGAAATTGAATGAATTCAAGTGATAAAATAGAATAATATAAAATAACATAACTGTGACCAAGGTAGAGAAAGAGGTTTAACAAAAACACTTTCGAACACATAATTTAGCTTTCTGTCGGTGTTTCGCTGGAGCGTCAGCTATGCATAAGTGGAGAAAACGTAAGATTTTGGAGTGGTTCGATTTGGTCCTGTAGCTAACTTTAAAGGATAGATCACGGGGGTGGGTGGGTGTTCTGAATGACCTGACTGCAAAAGACTCTTGTGAATTTGAGGCTTAGTTGTCGACTAAACCATTCCGAGTGCTACTTCATACCTTTTTCCTTAATGTAAATACGACTGTACAACTTGAAAATGTAGTCGTTGAGAAGAGATATTTCTTCGCTGAACAAAAGCTGTGTTTTTCATTATGAATTAGTGGGCATGCTTTGTGATATTTAGTAGACACTGACAGTATGTACCGCAACGGCAATAACCAAGGCAGGACAAGTAAAATGGCAAATTAAAAAGCTGTAATTGTTAACATTATGAAATGAATGTCAAATAAGTCTGACATTCTCAAGAATTGGTCTGTTGGGATTCTATTTGTTTCAGGTTCAGCTATGGACTGATATCAGTTAGAGAACCATTGAAAACCAGCTTGGAGTACTGGACAGATGTTTCACCCTAGTTTGGCACTTACTGGCAATACGCACCCACCATCATGGTTCGAACCCAGGGCCTTCCGTTTACAAGGCAAGCTGGTTCGTATACCTTTCAGCCACTGGCCAACCCATGAATTCTAACTTCTAGCTATTCGTGATTTTAGCATAACTGACAACCAGTGTCACTGGCGGCAAATACGTGGTCTATCCTGAAAAAGAACAGAACAAACTAATTATTGAAAATCAATCCGATGCTCGTTAGTAACTGGTTGTTGGACAAAGTCGCCTGAAGTTCTAGTGAGAAGTCGTGACCAGTGGAGTACATCCGGCCGGATGTGAGGACATATACTCACCGATGACACTAGTTGGTGGTGGCGCTAAAATCACAAATTGCTAGAAGTTAGAATTCATGGGTTGGCCATTCAATCAGGTCCTAGTGGCTGAAAGGTATACGAACCAGCTTGCCTTGTAACCGGAAGGTCCTTGGTTCGAATCGCGGCTGCGTGGGTGGTGAGTTGAATGACAGTGCGATATTATGCATTTGGTTTCGGCATCATTCAACCGATACAAAGATTGTATTACAGTTTACATTTCGTAACGAGTCAGCACCAGTTATATAGGTTATTGAAAACTCAGGGAACAATGGACAGCTGTTTCCTCTTAGTTAGGGATTTTTCATAAGTGCACATCAAAGATCCCAACGAGGATAGAACTTGGAACCGTCAGGTTATTAGACCAAGCTAGCTTACTATACAGTCACTTGTTTAGGAATTTAAGTGATCTGTAAATTCTCATGTTTCAGTCAGAAATTCCCTTTTGAAGTGCATTCATTTCGTTGATAAAAATACTGAACAAAAATGATAGAATTAAAACCAGAGAATTAGATAATAGAGAGCTAGTACTGAAACTACTAGATTTGAAATTTTAAAAAATATATCATGTTTTCTAGATACGATGCAATTATTGGAATATTTTGACTAAGTTGTAAAAAATTCGTGTTGAAAATGCAACCGGAATGTTAAGAGTTCAGGCTTGGGTTAGAAATGGTGTTCTAGAACTATTCACCTTTACGGTTAGCTCCATCCACTGTTCTTCCCTCACCAATATCAGATATCTTTTGTTATAATTCCATGTTTTTTGCTTGCTTTTCCATTTTGAATCCTAATAACACGTTAATTTTTAAGAATACTCGACAAGTTCACTGATACAATTGCAAATTTGAAGAAAAATATAATCAGGACTTCAAATTTTATTTAATACCGAGACGGAACTTTACCACACTTATAAAGAAGCACCAACAACTCTGGAAATTTCCATCCCTCTCTCTTAAAACTCCATATTATGTCTGGCTTAGTCACGATTAAAGTTCCATCCTCTACGTTTAATAACTACTAATACATTGTGTCCTCTAATTGGCCACCAGTTAGCCACCAGCTGTTACTCTAGTGTCATTTTCTAAGTGAACTGAAAGCTTTTGAGTGACAAAACATAGTATTGATATACTGTCCCACTACAGAATGTGATAACAGACGTAGATCTCACACTCGAGGCGTTATGTTGACCAAGAAAACAACCATTTTTGCATAAAACTATATATATACTACTGATTTAATGGGATAAGTAGTTGTATACCACTCACATCAACTAGTAGTGCTTGCTGTAGCCAGCCAGATTGAAGTGAAGTAAACACCTAACAGTCATTCAGCTTGTTTTAGGCCAGGCACATAAGTGTGGTTTGAGTCATTTCAGAGAGCTGTGAAACAATGCTCAGCCAATTACTGATATGTCACCCAGTTCAAGTTTCTAACACAAATCATAATGATCCATTGGCCAAATAATTTAGATTTGATCTAAATATTTTGTCATTTGCAGTGATTATCTCATTTGAGGGAATTAGAATAATTTTTGGTGAGAGTACCAAACATATGGGGGTTGTAAGTGTTAGGACAATCGTGAAATATAATATTAAAACCCGCCACTACTAATTCGTTTTTTAGGCAATATAATAATAATATTATTATTATTATCCCCTTGGGTTCCGAGTGGGACATAGGGCTTCAACAACACCCCCCCCACTTTTTTCTATTTTTTGCTGTCCTCTTCAACTGGGCCCACTATTGCTTATGATCTCTCATCGCCTCCTCGCCACATGGTCTCCGCCATGTCACCCTTGAACAAAAGCTCAATTCGTTGTTTACCATTTGGGTTCCGATAGACCGATGGCCCGGCGTGTAATGTCATTCGACGGTCTCCTCACCATATGTCCCACCTATCTGTATTTTCTTCCGGATATTTCCTGAGCTTTAGGTTGCTAGTTGATTTCTCATTGCTTATTCTTTGCAGTCATTTTAATCTTCAACATACAGCCAACGAAGGCAGCTGTTGATAAAAGTCTTCAACCTGTTTGTAGGTTTTGATCCATATTGAAGAACTGACTGATTTCAGATTTATGTTGAAAATCCTAATCTTTCACTTTCTTCTAAGGGTATAAGACATCCAAACTCACTTCAGGTTGATGAAGGTGTATCTTGCCACTCCGATTCTGGTTGGCTGGCTTTGACATCTTCATCCGTGCCGTATACCTGTGGTTGAAACCGCGCGCTTCCTAGATAAGTGAAGGAATTAATCTCTTTCAAATCTTTCCCGTTGAGATGGTGATTGGTGCTGGTTTTTGTTGCTGTTGGTTGATTATCTTCATCAACTCTGTCTTCTCTATGTTCACTTGGGATTCTGTCTTCACTTCTGCCAGTTTGTTGGTTTTCGCCTGCCTGCCTGCCTGTAAGTCTGCAAAATCCAGATCTCCTAGAGTCTTCTTATTGTCTCACGTATTCCTATCTTCTCGCTCCCCACGCACAATCTGACGCATAATCCAGTTCCCAACAATTAAGAATATCATCGGTGATAATAGGCAGGTACCCCTGTCTCACTCCTGTATTCACTTCAGAGGCTTTACTGAGTTTTCCGTTGTGGATCACTTGACAAGTGACATTGTCATGTAGCTGTCGTATGAGGTCGATGAAGACTTGGGCACTGCACGCCGCAGTGTTGAAGTAGTTTCCAAATTACTTCTTGGTCAACGCTGTCTATTGAAGGTCTTTTCGAAGTCGATGAGGGAAGCTGAGTAGAGGTTTGACTGCCATCTTATGCTGTGGTCGATGACGATGTGTAGAGTTGCAATTTGATCAACACATGATTTGCCTTTTCTGAGTCCAGATTGTTTCAGTTGAAGGAGTTTTGCATCCAATGGATTTTTTATTCTCTCTGGGATGATGAGATTTAGTATTTTACTTGGTGTGGATAAGAGAATGATTCCAAGCTGGTTTTTGCAGCATGAGGCGCAATTCAACCTTTTTTTGGTAGCTTGAAAAGGTAGCCAGCATTCATTCTGTTATGGTGCTAGATCTTTTGTCACGAGATCACTGCTTAACTACTGACCAGTGCCCACTTAACTGGTAAAGCAGAACACGCGAGAATCAGCGGTAAAACCAGGTTCATTTATTATGATAAAAGTGACTGTATTTATACAGAAAATAAGGTAGACTGGAAATCAACCAATCCGGTTGAGAGTTGGAATTGTGCAAGCGTCCAATCAGAAGCAGGATAATTGCATGTCAACGACTTGTTAATAACGCGATAATAACTTGACTGAGACATGATAATGACTTGATAATTGCATGTGTTTTGCCTCTTCCTAACATATTCCAATCAGTAGGCACCTTTCCTTCCTTCTAAACCTTTCGCAATAATGGCGTGAGCATATCTGCCGCAGTCTCCGGGTCTGTTTTCAATGCTTCAGCGGGAATTTTATTTGGTGTTTTCTTAGATAACATGCAATGAAATGAATAAAAAAGAAACTAATCATGACTAAACATTTGTGTATATTATTGGCGACAATGAACAATATGTTTTTGTCTAGCGAAAATTTATTAAAAAGTCTTATTTTTTCTTACCCTTTGATATATGTATATACATTCAGGATTGGTGAAAGTGGTTGTCGTGTAATGTGTAATGGTTTAGCCAAAAGTCGTTTTCTTGTTCATCTAAGTTTGTGTTTCTGTGGCCTTACAAAACAGTGCGGTTTATGGCTTGGAAATCTAGTCGCAGAAACTGCAATCAGGTTTGTTTATATTGGTGATATATAAATTAATTTTAAAAACAAATCATGTTTCATGCATGTGGTAAACTTGTTGGACTTTCATAAAGCAAGGCAAACTAAATTTGCAGTGTAAGACGACACTATTTTATCTTACTGGTTCTTATCATCTACAAATTGACAGAAATTACAACAGTGATAATAATTATAATAACAGCTTTATTCGAAACAGTATTTGTGGTACAGGTATGAAATTTTCAGCGTGCATTACAATATTGCATCTAATTACTTCAAAAATTTTATAAGATTTTAAAATCTAAAAGCAACACCCCAAAAAAGAAGAAAAACAAGAAAAATTAAAAGAACAGCGTTGCGTTTACATTTTAAACAATGCACCACACAGATATGAAATATAAAATTAGTGTGTAATAGAAGATGTGAACAACAATATAATAGTAACGAGGAAAGGAAAACAAAAACTAATGGGAACTATTTGTTAGAGTGCTGCAGTAAGTTGATCGTGTCATACCTAACGGATTCCTTATCACATAACAGCTGTGCCAGATATGGTATTGTGGAGCATTTGTACTTGGTAGTCCTAGCATATAGCCTCCTATAGCTGCTTCTAGTTCTACCAGATGAAATGCAGGCACTAATCTACGTTAAGGTCTAGGTCACTATATGGGCCGTGAACAAGGCTGAGTCAACAACCAATCACAGCGAAGTTAACGTGGCAAAATGATTCGCAATAGAGAACTCTGTCAAGGAATCCCGAAACAACCAATAGAAGCCTGCGTTGTCTACCTAAACAACCAATCAGATGAGCGCTTGGAGAGAGCTGCGTACAGAGAGGAGTCTCGGTGTCTGACAATATTGTATTCGCTAGTTTCTCACATGACATTATGTGGCTATCCACAATAGTGTTAACCAGTTGGTTTAACGTTATCCCACTTGCCCTACTAACGGCTTTTAGTGCCCTTCTCAGCACAACGAAATCTTTCTTAAGTAGTCCAGGAAAGATTAATGGGGAGCAGTAAAGGGGGATGGGTAGAATACAAGAATTGATAAACTGAGAAGGCAAAGACTATACTAGCGTATAAAATTCTTCGAAATGAATCATTTTAGATGTCCACTTACCCTAAGAAGCTTCTCAAAAATACTATCATTTTCTTTCAAGCTCTCTAGAAAGCTTAACTTCTTACTGATCAGGTTACACAATAGGAGTGCGTTTGATCAAGATAACTTACAACAGCTACCAAAGACGAAGCCATTGTACCTAAAAATTCGATTTGTCATGCTTTGTCAAGATAAACCATATCCTCTATTGTTCTGTTTCAAGGCTTTTTAATTATGAACGTAATGCCTAGTGATCACTGAATAATATTCGGTCATGTGTTGCAACATTGGTTTCGAAGAATTTGACCATTCTAAGTAATATGTTTATATGTGATGCACAGTAGGCGGCCCAGTGGTAGAATACTTGCCAACCACGCCTTACTCTTCAACTACAGGCGAAACTGACGAGAGTAGCAGAGCAAGAATCGGAAAAGCAAGACAAGCATTCATTACTCTCAAGTCTGTGTGCAGGTCAACAGTACTCAGCATGAAAATGAAAATAAGATCCGGATCTTCAACTCCAATGTGAAGTCAGTGCTACTCACTAAACGGATCAGAGACTTGGCGCGTCATAAAAAGCATCTCAAACAAACTTCAAACCTTCATTACTCAAGATCAGATGGCCGGCCAGAAAAGGTCAGCAACAGGGATCTCTGGCAATGAGCGAACCAACGAGGAACCGATTGTGCAACAAATCTGCAGGAAGAAATGCAGCTGGACAAGCCAAACTCTGAGAAAACAAACCATCAAGTGACATCACAATACAGGCTATTGCTCGAGTGGAACCCGAAAGGGAAGCGGCGAGTTGGTCGTCAGTGCAAGGGTGACTTGGAGGAGGTCATGTGAAGAGGAGATGCAAAAATGTGTGCAGACGTGGAGCCAGGTGAAAACGTTGGCAGAAAACCGAACGCAATAGAGACGCGCGGCGCCTTACGTGGCCCGCAGTTCGACTTCCAACTGGCACTCTTCTAAACATCGTCCAACCCGTAGTAGTAAGCCTGTCAAAGAGGCGATTTTGTGTGTGGCTGGAAGGCCAGCAACCCTACTCCATAAAACAACATTACTGCCAATGAGACTTCAAAGCTCAAGCGTGGAACCCTATGCCCCCAAATGGAACTTAAAGCAATCGAAAAAATGTTATGCACAGACTGAAATTAATTAGTATTGCTCTGAAAGTCATATATTTTTATGAGTAGCTTCAATAATCCTGTGTTCATTCAAAGAATCGAGTTATATGATTGACTGAGATATATACCATTCTCATAATAATTACGTGGTAATAGGTAATTATTTTGGATAAACGAATAATTTCCATCCATGCATTATTAAAAACGGCTAGGAGTCGCGCTATCTCGTGAATTGGCAGAAGTTAGAATTCATGGGCCGTTGTATCGGGTCCCAGTGGCTTAATGGTCTACGAGCTTGTAACCAGAAGATCCTGGGTTCGAACCCTGGAGGTGGGTGCGTACTGATGAAGAGTCCCAAACTAGGATGAAACAGCCGTCCAGTACTCCCAGATTTTCCAATGGTTCTCTAACTAATGTCAGCTCATGATGAAATCCTGTAACCAATCAATCGAATCCCTACAAACCAACACTTTAATTATTTAATTCATTTTTAACTTTCCGGTTGATTGATTGGACCGAAGTGCTCGGCCTCAATGGGAATATCCAAATTGATTTTTGTTAAATACTGATATCGCTTGCACAAGAAATATGTGGCTCTCGTGGCCTAAGTAGTCTATAGTGGATAGCGCTTTGGAGTTTGAAATTGTTGGTATTTGGACCGACTGTCAATGGGAACACCATCATTCGATGGGAATGTAGGCATATCAAGATTACGAATCTCAAATAGGACGAAATGCGCTTCCTGGATTCCACTGCTAGTCATCGTCCACCAATTTACCATAAAATAAGTAGTTCAACAAGGAGTGTATTTTCGATGGATTCATTTTTTAATCTGTACCAATTGCACTTATGTACAGTTTCTCATGGAAAAGGGTAGCAACAATAGTGATGAGTTGTTATAATCATATTTGTGAATAATACTTAGCGCATAGGAGGAGTTGAATAAGTGTACCTGAGTTGCGTAATAAGATGAGTGATTTATCTAGCAAGTTGCGAATACTAAAGAAAGAAGATATTGAATTGCATAAAAGTTCTAAAGAAATACATGAGTTATAAGGACTTACAAACATAAACAAAACAAAATTAATTTGATAGAAATCAACAAGGTTCTTAGCATGACAGTAGAAATGGTTGAATAATTTTCTTTTGTATGCGGAGCTCCAGTTTCTTTATTTGAATGGCTAGAGTTTCAGAAATGCAAAGGAGACGAAAACCTATTTTCTTTGGTAGGCTGTTCTTCACTCTGCAGATTACTTTGAAGTCACCTCTTATTTAGATGGAATGACCAGTGATGACAAGGTGTTCAGTTATCGTATTTCTTATGGAGTCACTACTACCTTTCTGCGCCCATGTGGGATAGTGTTTTTCAACACTTTTTTGACAGGATACCCGTCGAACAACCGGTTTACTTGGCTCAGCAAGAACAGGTGGGCTGATACTAGCACATACAAGTGGTCAGATTCGATATATTGTCTCTAGCGCTTCTGCTGACGACCACCGGACGACTGGGAAACATTACTTTTAGCGCTGCTCCGAATAACGCTCATCCAAGAGATGATAGAATTCTTCTCCTTAGGATATCATAGCTCAAGTACCCCTCGAAATCCAGGTTTATGTAAAGTTTCTTTTCTGTTACAAGTAATTCTGTTTTTCTCTATACCTTTGATTTGATGTCCTTGTTAAGGAATCCGATAGGTATCCATTTGGATGAATATTTCTCTTATATGGTCTAGTTTTGCTTCTAGACTGTCAAGGCTCCAGATTTGTCGAATGTTAGTAGCAAGGGATCTAATTAAACGTCATTTTCATTGAACAAGGACAGTTTGGCGATACGTAATCATCTCCCTATGATCTTTTCTGATTGGCAGATATGTTTATGGAAACTATAGTAATGATAGATTATGCTCTTAGTTGGCTGATATAAGTTTATACAACTCGTAGCATAGTTGTTAAGTCATTTCTTTCTGTTTTGAACAAAATAGTGTGACATTTTGCCAGTGATAATTACTCAATCAATTGATGAACCGAAATGGCTCAGTAGCAAAGTCTTTGACTACAGCACCGGATGATACAGACGTGAATCTTCGAGTGGTTATCAGTTCCTTTCAGATTGTAGACAGGTCTTGTTAACTAATGCTAAAAGGCCTGAAACTTTGATCCATTACTTCAGAGCTAGTATATCAGACACTAGAATCACTTCTTACAGTATTTCATCATGAGATGACGTCGATTAGAGAACCATTTGAAAACCTAAGAGTACTGAACACCTGTTTCTTCCTAGTTTGAGACTCTTCAAAGCACCCATCCGCGGCCAGGGATAGAATTCAGGGCCTTCTGGTTACAAGGCTAGCGATCTCGTCGACCATTAAGCTACTCTGGGACCCGACCGAACGACTAACCCATGAATTCTAACTTCTACCAATTCATGACATAGAAAGACCGCTAGCCAATGTCTTCGGCGGGTATTTGTCCTCACACCCAACCTGCTACACTCTACTCGTCACGACTTTCTACTAGAACCCAAGGCAACTACCTACCTAAATAGGGCCAGTTGCCAGTGAGCATCTCATTGATATTTAAGTATTTGTTTGTTGGGATTTGATTGATTGGTGACGGGATTTCATAATGAGCTGACATCAGTTAAAAAACCATAGGAAAACCTAGGAGTACGAGATCGCTAGCCTTGTAACCAGAAGGACCTGAGTTTGAACCCTAGCTGAGGGTGGGTGCTGTGAAGAGTCCCAAATTAGGACGAAACAGGTGTCCAGGACTCCTAGGTTTTCAAATGGTTCTCTAACTCATGTCATATCATGATGAAATACTGTAACCAATTAATCAAATCCCTACAAACCCGTACTTGAATAAGAATTATTTCTTTTGAAATATTCTAAGTAACTTTATCTTAATTTGATTTTTTTGAGTTCCAAATGGAACATTTTTCCTCAAGCTTGCGCTTTGAAGTTTAGGTATCGGTAGTGTTGTTGTTTACATGGTAAGGTTGGTAAACTTTAACCAGTGTTCCCAATTTACTGGACTTACTAATACTTTAGTTAAGTCAGGTTGAAGAGTCGATTATCCGGGTATCGAACTCGAGCTGCATATATGGTCGGCGAGCATTTAACCATTGAGCCACCGACGTATGCGGAATTTTTTTTAGCAAGATACTGAAAAACACAAACTGCTTCCCAATAATTTTAGTCTGCGCTGTTATTTGACTGTCGAGGGAAAATTACTGAAATAATTAGAACACTCATTTCGTAAATTGTTTTATTCACAAAGTAATAATTAGTGTGACTGCTAGTCTGTCTTTCTAAAAAGTCTAGTAAACTGTTTTGTTTTAAGGGAACTTATTTTAGACGGTAATTATCTAGAAGCTGAAGGTACAATAGCTCTACTTAGTCGACTGTCGGATGCTGCAGACAAAGAAGGATTTGAACGTGCTGAAGAAATAAGGAAAAAGCAATTAGCTGTAGAGGAGGCTAAAAAACGAAGTAAGATATCGATTTTGATATTTGTTTCTTATCATGTCAAAATATGCTATTCAATATTATCTGATATAGTTGTAATACAGTTATCAGTTGGAAGCGTAATTCAACATAATTGTGGGATACTACTGGATTCTTTTATAACTGGTTTTGACCTTAAATCTTTACTTAGTTTTATGAAAGACTGTGCGAAATTCACGTTTCAGTTTTGTTGACTGGTGGTCAGACTATCTGAAACAGCCTTGGATTAGCAGAATACTGCTGATGGTAGTAGGGAATGATTTAAGGTTGTGGTGAGAGCTGTCTGATAGCCAAAATTGGTGGACAGCAATTTACGTCAATGTTTACTTCCCAAATCTTCGTCATGAGGAAAAAACAAGAACAAAGACTTTGCGTGGGCGGATACGATTCACAGATATATCGTCTAACCTTCAATGAAACGGCCACAAACATATGACAGAATAACTTCCAGTGATAAAATGACCAATCAGAAGACGCTGTTTCTCTGCTAATAATAACGAATAATAATGTACATAAAAATATACAAATATCTCTTGATTTCTTACAGGATTTCATCATGAGCTGACATTAGTTAGCGAACCATTGGAAAACCTAGGAGAACTGGACACCTGTTTCGTCCTAGTTTGGGACTCTTCAGCAGTAAGCACCTACCGGGATTCAAACCCAGAACCTTCTGGTTACAACGCTAGCGGACTCGTATACCATCAAGTCACTTGGACCCAATCCAATGGCCCATGAATTCTAGCTTCTGCCGATCGGCGATATAGCGCAACTGCTAACCAATGTCTTCAGCGAGTATTTGTCCTCACACCCGACCTGCTACACCCTACTGGTCACGACTTCCCACTGAACCCCAGGTAACTACCTACCTGAATAGGGAGAGTCGCCAGCGAGCATCTCATTGATATTCAAGTATCGGTTTGTGGGGATTTAATCAATTGGTTACAGGATTTCATCAGAAGGGCCTGGGTTCGAATTCCGGGTGGTGCGTACTGATGAAGAGTCCCAAACTAGGACGAAACAGCCGTCCAGTACTCCCATGTTTTCCAATGGTTCTCTAACTAATGTCAGCTCATGATGAAATCCTGTAACCAATCAACCAAATCCCTATAAACCAATACTTGAATCTCTTGTTTTCCTGGATAAGCGATCTGTTGCCTGGCCCTTGTCTTCTGTCGTTACAAGTCGAGATCCCAGCAGTAATGTAGAGTCAATGCTTCTGTATGGTTCAGAGACAGGTTGTAGACTTTTTCGACAACTGCCTTCTCTGTATACTGCCCGTCAGATGGCTAGGAAGGATTTACAACAACAACCTTTGGTAAGGAAGCAATCAACAGCATACCGCCAAACAAACACGCAGAAGAAAACAGAGATGGATTAAACACAGGCACCATGCAGGCTATTGTGATTGGAATGGGAATAAGAGATGATGGGTTAGGTGTTGTTGGTCAGGAGGTGATAGTGAGACGATCGTATGAAGAGATGATAGCTTATGGTCAGTCGTCCGACCAAGTGACACATAATACAACTTTAGAGATATACTGCAGAAGCCCTTTGTTCCTCTCAGAAAAAAAAGAATAGTAATAATTCATGGGACTACTGTGGTGAGAGCTGTCTAAAAGCCTAAATTGTGAACAACGATATACGTCAATGTTTACGTCTCGAATCGCGGTCAATAGAAAAAAAAGCAAGAACAAAGCCTAACCTTGAGGAAATCAGCAACCAATCATCACAGCAGACTTAACGTGTGCAAATACTATCCGCGGACATATACATAACTTTGCAAGCAACGGTCACAAACAGGAGAGAATAAACTTCAGCAAGAAAACAACCAATCAAAAGACGTTGTGTCTCTGCTAAAATAACTAATAATAATGTGCATATAAATCTATAAATATATGTTGATTTTCTCAATAAACGATCTGTTGTCTGGCCCTTGTCTTCTGTGGTTACACTGTGAGCAATCTATGTCCGGAATGATACACGTTGTTAAATCATTAAAACGTAAAACGGCTGACTATATACAGTATAACTAGACGAATATTCCTGAAGAAAAAAGAAAGGTATTTGGCTAGGTGAGAAGAAACCACGAAATAATAAAGAATGATGAACTTATATTATCCTGGTACACTTATTATTCTTTCTCTATTCAAATACAGTTTGAATCATTACTGTCTGCTTGTTTTAAAAAACATTCTTTTTCTTTCACTTCATTATTAACAGACAGGATCAATTTAGACGCATTGCCTCCAGCCGAAGGAGAACCAGATGAAAATACTGAGCCACCTGCCCAGCCTCCGTCTTCACCCCCAACACCATCAAGTAAGACAAACTCGGCAAAAAGTTCTAAAAAGAAAAAGTCATCTAAATGTAAGTTGTCTCTATGCATTTTTTGCTATTAATTTAAAAATATACTTTGATGATGATGTCTAGTAGATAAATATGCAGATGTTTTAGAAGTAACAAGCAGTGGTGTGTTAACTTATGCGTCGTTTGCCGCTGCTTTTTATCCTGATATACTAAAATTTGTGCTTTATAATTAATTTAGTCATTTGAAGTGGTGATTTCATATACATTAAGCATGGCTGATACACGTCGTCAACACCGTTTATTTTTCACAAACTTCATACACTTATTGCCCTTTATGAATAGGAAGAAAGAAAACAGACGGTTTGTGTACCATCACTTATTTCGCCAGCTTCTCATCAGCTGCGTATAGAGTAAAAAAAAATAATTCATTAAGTTTATGTACAGAAGACATCTTCATCTACAGCTGTCTTCGCTGAATACTCAAAAAACAGATGGCCGGCCAGAAAAGATCAGCAACACGGATCTCTGACAATGAACGAACCAACCCAACAGCAGGAACCAGTTGTGCAACAAATATGCAGGAAGAAATGCAGTTTGGTGGATTAACCATACTCGGAGAAAACAAATCATCAAGTGACATCACACACCAGGCCATAGTTCGAGCGGAACCCAAATGGGAGGCGGTGAGTTGGTAATCAGTGCGAGGGTGACCTAGAGGAGTGTTATGTACTCGTCGAGTAGTTAATAGTCCTGACGCGGAAAGAGGGAAATCAAAAGACCACCAGGTTTTCGATGATACTTGTATTTTCCAGACAAGGAAAATAAATGTCACACAAGAGTGTGAGTGAAGTGGTACGTATGTACGAAACGTGGGAACAAGAATGATAAAGCAAGAGTATATATGAAAATGGCTAATGCACATGAACCAACAATAGAGAGTCTTACCATGATTGGTTGTAATGTCATGTGATAACAAGGTTATACGTTGTTTATTTAGTTAGTGGACAGACAAAAGCATATTGTCAGTTATAATGGAATATCGATCCATATACACAGCAAAATATAACAGACTCAAAAACAGAACACACATCATGTGAATACCTATCAAGGAGGTCGTACGAAGAGGAGATGAGAGCATGTAGGCAAACTTAGAGCCAGGTGTAAACGTCGTCAGAGAACCGAACGCAATGGATATATGCGCGGCTGAAGACCTATTTTCCTCTAGGAATCTAACGAGATAATACTAATAACACAGAACAGCTTTAACATACTTTAAAAACTGAATAAATAGTGCCAAGAAACTACTCTTATATAGCCTATACCCAGAAAGTTCAACCTTAAACAAAAAAATAAACGCTTGGATACAATGGCTAGGGAGTTACGTAACACAGGCAAGAGGTGACTAAGATGAATAACTAATAGACTGAGCTCTTGTCTATTGACTGAGCACCAATATGATGTATTCAAGTCATATCATAGAAACAGAAGACAAGCAAAGTTACACTACATGTAGCTAAGGGAGAAGAGATTAAAGCTGGAGATTACGCAACCAAATGAGAGAGAGAGTAAGGACTGATAACCGCTTTCTCTGAACACACAAAAAGGGTTCCAAACGTTTGATAGCGATTGCTCCAGTGAACAAAGAGAATTGAACTGCTTATTTTATTGATAATTTTAGAGAATTTTTAGTGATGTCCACTTCATGACCCAAATCGATGAGATATCTGCCAGTGGCACTGTTGTAAGTGTTTGTTCCCTTGAGATGTAGTCTTTTTGAAGCGTGTCAGGTCTCTGAATGACATACAATTGCTGATTTGACATTAGAAATTCGGATCTTGTTCCTTGCGATGGGTTCAGTAGATTTCCACACTGAATTTCCGTCTTGTTTTTCCAATCCTGACCTTACTTCCACATCCTCATCCGTACCACTTGTAGGTAAGAGGACATTGCCCAAGTAAGTGGAAGAGACAAATTCCTTCAGATTTCTTTCACTGACAGTGACTGATGCTTGTTATTGTTGGTTAGATGTCTCCAACACCTTTATCTTCTACATGTCCCCTTGAAGTCCTGTCCACTCTGCCTCCCTTCTGTCAGCTTGTCAGTTTTTGCCTGTAGATCTTTGAGTTTGTCTGACATTAGAGATAAGTCATCAGCACGGTATAGATCTTCTGAAGTTTTCTTGTCTTCCCAACATATGTCAGTCTTCTGGCTTGTTACTTGATCGTGTTTACTTGCTACTTATAAGTTACTTTTATACTGGGTCTTTTGACTAAAATCTGCCATTACTCCCATGAAATGCAGATTCTCAACTATCGTAGAACCTCACAAATAATAAATTCGAATTCCTTATTATTTTATATCTGGTGAGTTTCTGTTCAGAGTTTTATGTTACTGAACATACAGATAGATAGTCAAACGCTCAGCTTCAATCTTGTTTCCAGCTTAAGGTCCTTGTGAATAAGATGGGGAAATGTTTCATAAAGTCTTTTGAGAACTCTGATAACTTGGACTATTTGTCAGATGAAACTTTTGTAATCAGAGATTTACAAACATTTTACATTTCTAAAGATTATAACAGGTTTCTTCAGTAGTATTGTGGTGGTGTGATACAAACAATACGTTCCAGCGGAATTGTCTTCTCAAGTCCTCGACCACTTCTTCTACGACCTCCAAAC